GCCAGCCTGGTCTACAGATCAAGTTCCCTGACTATATAGAGAAACCCTATCTCAGGGAGGGGAAAACAGCTTTATTACATTGGAAATGCTATGTTGATTTTTAAGTTTGGTTGCTTATCAGTATCAGAAAGATATTTTGAAGTTCTTCCCCTTTTTTTTCAAGACAGGGTTTCCTCTTTGTAGCTTTGGAGCCTGTCCTAAAACTAGCTCTTGTAGACCAGGCTGGTCTCGAACCCACAAAAATCGGCTTGCCTTTGCCTCCCGAGTACTAGGATTAAAGGCATGCACCACCACCGGCTGGCCCTTTTCTTTTTCTTTAGTGTACATCTCTCTCTTGAAATAGAACCAGGGCTGCCCACATGCTGGATTAGTGCTCTGTCACTGGAGCAGTGGCAAATTGTCCATTTCTAATTGGTAAAGTAGTGTTTGGATTTTTTTCCTCTTTATTTTGTTATCTGTGTTTATAAGAAGATGAGATGTCAGGCAGTTGGTGGCACATTCCTTTTAATCCCAGCACTGGGGAGGCAGAGGCAGCAGCTAGCCTGCTCTACAGATTGAGTTCCAGGATAGCTACACAGAGAAACCCTGTCTCGGAAAGAAAACAAACAAAACAAAGCAAAAAAGATGGAAAAAATTGTGGGTATAGTGTTATTGAATACTTCTTATCTCCTAGAAACCATTATAAGTAGTTTGTCTCATAGTCTTGACAGTATCTCTCTGAGAGAGTATGTACTGTCTCCATCTTCAAGAAGAATTTTAGACCTAGAGAGAGCCCTGTAAACAACCCTGAGATTGGGTAGATAGGCTGGCATTTGGAAGTAGCTTATTAGCTCCTTAATTAAACATATTCTTTGGACTGTTGACCTAAGCAAAATGTTAGATATTCTTTTTTATTTTGAAAATTAATGAGGAATTAAACTAATGTCCTTATCACGAAGAGAGGCAATAAGTGTCTGAGCCATTTATGCAAAAGCTATGTGCTGCTTAAGAATTTGTTGAGCTTCATGTTCATTGATTCCTTTGCAGACCACCCTTAAGAGGGTTCCTCCTGGATGGAGATTTCTTCGTTGCTGCTTCCCTTGCCACGACTCTGACCAAGATTGCATTACGCTATGTAGCGTTGGTTCAGGAGAAGAAAAAGCAAAACGTATGTTCATATGTTCATTTATTCTATATTTACTCAGTAATTGATTATTGAGTGTCTACTCCATTGAACAGTGAAAAACTTAGAAGTTAATGCTAAAGGTCATGTCTTAAAAGAGCCGGTGGCTTAGTAAGGAAAACAAACACAGCAGTATAACATGACTATAAAATTAACAAAGTAACTGGGCTGGGCTGTGGTTGCCCATGCCTTTAATCCCAGCACTGTGGAGGCAGATGGATCTTTGTTTATTTGAGGCTAGCTTGGTCTATAGAGCAAGTTCCCGGAGAGGCTCTAAAGCTACAGAGAAACCTTGTCTCAAAAAACCAAAACCAAAACAAACAAAAATTGACAAGGTAATACAAAATAGTATGATTAGTTTGATGAGGGATTATTAAGTCATTTCTGTAGGCAAGGGTTAGTCATCAGCCAATGATAGTAATGGCTTTTTTCAGTAGTATCTTTGTTGTCACCTGTTTCATCTTAAAATATCTCTTAAATAGTTCCTATTTATAGTTGGTACCTAATTACAGCTTCTGAAAGTTCTGGATATATTGTCATTTACAATAGTGTGCTTCCATTCTTCCAAACCTTACCAACCCTTTGCAATATTGTCCTGTATTTCATACACACATATCCATTATAAACTTTATGATGCATTATTATTTTGTTAATAAATAGCAGATCCTCTTTTTAAAAATTAATTTCTTAGGTTTCATACAAAGTAAAGGGCTTCACTATTGTATTTCATAGGTGTCATTATATTTATTCTAATTCACTGCCCTGCCCACCTAACCTCACTGTCCTCCCTCATGCCCCCATGTCTGTCCTCTGGCTGGTTTTCTTCCTAAACAATGTCTCCTTCAGCTTTCGTGTCACATGAATTCCACTCTTTTTCCTCTTTCCCTTAAGGCCTTTCCTTTCCTATCCTGATCCTCTTTCTTGTTTTTTCATAAACCCTCTTTTTTAAAAAAAAAAAATCATAATTTTTGCCAATGTGATGGTACATACCTGTAAATCCTAGCACTTAGAGGGCTTTGGCAGGAAAATCTGTGTTTAAAGCCAGCCTGAGCTACATGATACTTGCCTCAGAAAGAAAAGAAAAATGTAAATATCCCTTTTGTAATATTTTTTCTGGTATCTGGATCAAGATGAGAATTGGGAGCTGGGAACAAGACTAAGTTCAAAGTACTTTTTTTTCTGAGTTTAAAGATTCTGGTAAAAAAGATGCATTGCCTGAACCTTACTCTTTTAACAATTTTTCATTGTGTAATTAAGTGGCCTTAAGTATATTCACGTTAAATGACAATGGCCACCATCCCTCACACTGCTTTTATTTGTCATCCCAAAAGGAAACTTTTTATACAGTAAGCAGTAGCTCTGCCTTGCTTCCTGCTCCTAGTTCCTTGTAACATTTATTATATTTTATTTTTAAAATATTTGTGTGTGTAGTGCAGTGTTGAGATGCACCTGTGTGTGTTGTAGCATAGATGTGGAGGTCAAAAGACAACCTTAAGTGTGAGGTGGGGCCTTTCTTGTTGTTTTCCATTGCATTGCATGCCCCAGCTTAGTTGGCCCACAGCCATCAAAGAATTCTCCTGTCTCTACCTGGCATCTCCTGGTAGGAGTGCTGGGATTAGACATGTACCACTGTGTCCAGCTTTTCACGTGGCTTCTAAAGATCCACACTCACGTTGTCAAGCTTGCATAGCAAGTGCTTTTACCTACAAGTCTATTCAAATTTACTTATTCTAGGTACTGTGTTTAAAAGAAATCATACAGGAGACCTGTCCTTTAACTTGCCTTCTTCATGGTTCGTGCATGTTATATCAGAATTCCTTCCTTAAGGCTAAATAAAACTTTGTGGGTTTTTTTGTTTTGTTTTGTTTTTGTTTTTTTGTTTTTATTTTTTCGTGTGTGTGTGTGTGTGTGTGTGTGTGTGTGTGTGTGTGTGTAACATTCTCTTTACACTTTGTCATAAATAAGTCAATTATTTGAGCTGAGCATGGTGGCACCTATCTTTAATCCCAGTTACCTGAGAGGTGGAAGCAGGAGAATCTGGAATTCCAGATCATTTTCAGCTAGAGAGGGAGTTTGAGGTCAGCCTGAGCTACGTGAAGTACTGTCTCAAACCAAAAAGACAGTTATTTTTTATTTTTAATGAAAAGTCTTACATCTAATATTTTCTTTTTGCCTGAATAACTTGATTACTCTTATAAGTCAGTTGGTAAACAATTCTTTCAGAACCAAGTTTAATGGTAAATCCATGTAAACCAAACACTCAAGAGGCAAGAGGATTGCAAGATTGAGGCTATCTATATCAAGCCCCAGAGCAAGACTTTGTCTAAATATACATATATATGTATATATATATATATATGTATATATATGAGAAAAATTTTAAAAAGAAAGCTTCCAGCACTTATTTACCTAAAACTTTTTTTCTTTACTTGGAAAAACAGTTTCTTTCTGATACGATTCTGAATGTTTATATATTTTTAAATTCATTTTTTAAGATAAACAAGGAATGTTATGAGTATATAACGTGGTGGTAGAAGACCTACTTAACATATATAATGCCCTGGTTTTGAAACTTAGCATCACTAAAATAAAATAAATTTGAGTGAAAGTCAGTTACGATTGCAACAGTTAACTACAAGTTTTGTTAATGCTGTAGTGAAGATAGAAAATTGAAAGTTGGGATCATTGAAACCCTCTAGAGTTTGAACTGGCTTATATCTATCCAACAGTTTTTTCACCAATTGAAAAAAATCATTTTTGTACTTTACAAACTGCAGTTTCACTCAACATTATAACAAACATTTCCCCATATTTTTATAAACCCTTCCTAGTCATATTCATAATACTTAATATTTTATCTCAAGAGTCCATTTGATTTCCTCATGAGTTGTTACATCACTTTGGAATGATAGGAGAATGTTTGTGATATCAGTCTAAGGAGCCAGATTTCTTGTAACATCTAGTTAGAACACTCAGATATGCTTCACACAAAGGACACTTAATTGTTCACTGTCTCATTAGCATGCCTGCATTTGTGCCATTTCCCTTTTTCTTCATTCTTTTTGTATCAATAGGAGTGTCCTTGTATCACAGATCTTATGCCTAAAGAATGTGCATTCACTTTCATTATAGTGTGTGTCTGAACTCAGCTTCTCACACTTAATGTCACAAGCATTCTATCAGTTGCACTGTCTCCCTCAGCCCCCTTCACTTACATTTTTGAAAGATGTCTTTGTAAAAAGATGTCTTTGTTCTCAGTTGGCATTGTTTTCTCCCAGCACTATAAAGATATAGTTTTCATTGTCTTCTGCCTTCCTAGTGAGAAATCTTCTGTCACTCCTCTGCCTGTGCATGGCTGGCTGGTTTTATATTCTGTTGTTTTCCTGAGACAGGTTTCTCTGTAACAGCCCTGGTTATTGTGGAACTCGCTGTAGACCAGGCTGGCTTTGAACTCAGAGATCTGCCTGCCTCTGAGTTCAAATAAAGGTGTGCACCACCACCACCCAGCTTTATATTATTCTAACTATGGGTCTTAGCAGTCTCTTTGTGCTTCATTACGCTCTGGGGGTCTAAGGTTTCTATTATCGTTCTCGTAAAGTTAGGAAATTTCTGGTCGTAGTTTTTTTCAGACATTGGTTTTTAACACTTCCACCTCTCTTCCTTCTCCTTCTGAAGCTAGGGCACAACTTTGGAGACTTATATCTACTTCTCTGCGGGTGCTTCCCCAGACCAGTGTGTGTTTGTTTAAGTATATGGCCTGCTTGTCTTTATGTGTACCACGCATGTACATAGGGGTGGTGCCCGGTGCCCCATAGGGGTCCCAGAGATGTGCCAGAATAAGATGTGCCAACGACGCTGAGAAAACGAGAAACAACGACACCGAGAACCACCGAGGGCTGTGCCCCATTGGGCCCCATTGGGGTCCCCGTGCTTTGCGCCATCACCGCCATCACCGAGGACCGCCGACACTGACAACTGCCGACACGGAGAGGGCCCTATTGGGGTCCCCGTGCTTCGCGCCGACATGTTGGACCGTCGCATCGACACCGCCAACCGCCGACACACGGAGAACCACCAAGGGCTTCACCCGAGAGGGCCCCATCGGGGTCCCGGTGCTTCGCGCCATCACCGAGGACCGCCGACACTGACAACCGCTGACACCGCCAACCGCCGACACGGAGAGGGCCCTATTGGGGTCCCCGGTGCTTCGCGCCATCACCGAGGACCGCCGACACTGACAACCGCTGACACCGCCAACCGCCGACACGGAGAGGGCCCTATTGGGGTCCCCGTGCTTCGCGCCGACACGGAGGACCGCATCGACACCGCCAACCGCCGACATGGAGAACCACCAAGGGCTTCACCCGAGAGGGCCCCATTGTGGTCCGCCGACACCGCCGACCACCACCGCCGACCACCGACACTAAGGATCATCAAAAGCTGTGACCAAGAGGGCCCCATTGGGGCCCTGGTGCTGCACCGGAAGAGATGAGACACCAGGAGCCATGCCTGGGGCTCCTTTGGGGGTGCCTGGTGCTGCAGTGGGAGGAAGTAAGCTTGTGGCTCTGGTGGGCCTTGCTCTTTTCTCTCATTCTCTCTGCCTTGATAAAAACTGATTACATAACTAAATCTAGCCACCAAGATCTATTCCCTTGTTTGGCCTCTTCTTCCTCCTGAGGCTGACTACCAAAGTCCAATAATCAAAAGCCCCCATTGGTTTATCTGATTAACATTCCCAATTAAAATTAAATACCTCATCCTAATGTGGGATTCCCTCTTTACCTTTCTTAAGCCACCATTTGCCTGTGGGCCTTGTCTATCTCCTCTCTATCCAGAGGCAGAACTTTGTTTTCCTACCCCTTCCCCAACAAATATATCCACCCCCTTTCTGTTAGAGTCCATGAGATTCTAGACAAAAGACCGGCGTCCATGTATGTAATTAGCAAGAGCATTTAATTCTCTAAAACATCTGATAGAAAGGCAAAATGGGGACTCCCAAGAGATGCTCCCAGGCTCCTTTTATACACAGTCTAAGGAATTCCAAAGCCAGTTAAGTCATTCTATCTATGATTGGCTTAAGCAAGTGGCAATTATGTTAGTACATTTCTGAATGGCTATGGCTAAAGCTAGCAGGGGCTGGCTAGAGCTATAATTTCCCATTTTTGGGCATGTTTGGAAAAGTCCCAGGGCCTGTTCTTATTTGGGCATTGCCTTGAGATACTGTAGGGGGCTGGCTCAGGCTCAGTATGTGCAGTTCCCTTTATCCCTGCTGCCAGTGGTGTTGTTAATTGAATGTCCTTTGTTCATAGTTTCCTCAGAAACTGCTTGTCTAACTTCAGGAAGTAGGATCTGGGGCCTGTTTTTTAATTGGGTTACTAGGAACATGGCGTTAGCTCTGCCCTCTCATTTTCCATGTTTCTTCCCCCATCCCTTGTCCCCTGTTTCCTCAAACACTGCATTACCTAGCCCATTCTAACACAGACTTTCCTCCTTCTCTTAAGTTACACCTACAAAGTCATTTCCACTTTAACTTTTCTTCCCTGCTTAATAAAGGATCTCTCTGTTCAAATAGGTGTTTGGGTGTGGTTTGTGCTTAATCTCAGGTCTGGGAGGAAGTCCCATTCACAGAGGAGCAATAAGACATGGGGGGCCATACCCAGGCCCCTGCCAGGATTGCTGTGCTAAAGTGATGGGACACAGAGGAAGCAACCAGATACCAGGAGCTGTGCCAGGGGCACAGGTACTATGAGAAGCTGTGAGACACAGAAAGCAACAAGATACAGAGGGCTGTACCAGGGGTCCTGGTGCTGCACCAGAAGTGATGTGACACAGAGGAAGTGATGAGATACATGATGTCCTGGTTCTGGGTAAGGTGCTGAGGGACACACGGCTGGGTGAAACACACGCCTGAGTTGCCCCTGCCCACAGCCACATGGCACTGACCAGGTGTGAGAGACATCAGAGGACCCCCCCACCCCTGCATCCACGAGTTGGTGGCTTGGCCTCTGGTGAACCAGTCCAGAGGGTGTGAGTATGGGAGAGCTGGCCACTCCCCTCATCTGAGCAAAGCAGGAGAGCTAGCCCTGGTGGCGAATGCATAGGAAAACAGGCAGACTGACCAACTCATCTACTACCCAGGCACAGATCCAGGGCTTTGAGTTGGCCCACCCTAACATGTACCCCATCTAAGAACTGCTGGAGCTAATGGAGGTACAAGCCCTGCAGAACCAAAGCTGCAAGATCTCCATGACATTCGACAACAGGATATCTGAGAGGAGTCCCAGTGCAGATCCTATATTGATAATGTAGCAGAAGCCAGAGGCCTGGAACCAGACAAATGACTCATTGCAAAGAACATTTACAAGTAAAGCCGTTTGGGCAAAAGGTTATACTATGTGACACCATGACAAATCACAGCTTCCATTGTGACAGGGAGATGAGTGGGATTGGTATGCATGATATAAAATTCACAAAGATTCAATAAAAAGTAAAAGAAAAAGGAAACTGGTCTAGTGTAAAAAAGAATGGAGAGAATAATAGCTGATAAAATATGTGAAGCTGATTCTGGGCTTAAAAGTAAAATAAAAACATTTTGAGGTGATTTAGGAAGATTTATGTGAATTCAGAGTACATATATTTGGGGATTGTTCAATTTCTCAAGAAATAAAACTTTGTTTTTATAGGAAACTGTCCTCATTCTTAGTAATGGTTGCTAGTATACTTATGAAGATGAGAATCTTATTTTTATATGGCCAGCCAAATTGTAAGTATATGAGTTAATAAGAAAGCAAATATGGATATCTGAGGAGTTAACTTAGTAAAGTGCTTATCACACAATCTTGAGGACCTGAATCTTGTCCATCCTGTCCCCAGAACCCATATAGAAAGTCAGGTGTATTGATGTGCTTATAATCTGCATAGAAGCACAGACAGAAGTATCCCTGGGACCTGTTGTCCAACAAGCCTAGCCTAGTCGTTGGGCCTCAAGTCCCAGAGTGCACCTGGTCTCCTTTTTAGCACATGATAGCTCCTAAGAAACAACACCTGAGGTTGACCTCTGCCTCCATATGCATGCACCCACATAAACACACAGAAAGCAGGTATGGTTGAAAAGTCAACAGTTGCTGAAGCACATTCTTTCAGCTTTTTTGGTTTGTTTCAAGAGACAATCATTAAAAAGTCCTTGCTATTTTTCAGCCAAGAGTCAGTGAAGCCTTAGAAAGCTGACAGAACAAAACAGGTAGAAGGATATGGGAATAACTAGAGAAATAAAATCTGGGCAATTTGAAGTTTAACTCTGGTGAATTCTTGAATTGTCAGTTATATTTCACTTACTCCAATTGGAGAATCATAGCAGTAACCAATTTGTCTGTTTTTATAGTCCTTTGTTGCTGAGGCTATGTTGCTCATGGCAACTATCCTTCATTTGGGAAAATCCTCTCTTCCTAAGAAGCCAATTACTGACGATGATGTAGACCGAATTTCCCTGTGCCTCAAGGTCTTATCTGAATGCTCACCTTTAATGAATGACATTTTTAATAAGGAATGCAGGCAGTCTCTTTCTCAAATGTTATCTGCCAAACTCGAAGAAGAGAAACTATCCCAAAAGGTAAAGTATATATAAGTCCATAAAGTGCTTTTTAAGTTGGGGTTTTTTTTCTTTTTAATTTTATTGCTTTTTCAGTCTCTATGTGTGAATCTGTTCCTGTGAAAAATTTATGAAAAGCTGTTGTTCGTTCCATATAAAAAGACATGTGCATTGCTTTTTCAACACAGAAAGAATCTGAAAAGAGGAATGTAACAGTACAACCTGATGACCCCATTTCCTTCATGCAACTAACTGCTAAGAATGAAATGAACTGCAAGGAAGATCAGTTTCAGCTGAGTTTGTTGGCAGCAATGGGTAATACCCAGAGGAAAGAGGCAGCAGATCCCCTAGCATCCAAACTTAACAAGGTAACACAGTATCTGATATATAACTTACTCGTTGTTGTTGTTTTGTTCATATTAGGTGGGGTGTCCCACGCTTGCCTCAAACTGAGCTCTCTCCCAGGTGCTAAGATTAAAGGCTTGTACCACCATGTTCACTTGAAAATGTATTTAAATTGACTATTTAAGAGTATAGTAGTCATGGGGCTGGAGAGATGGCTCAGAGGCTAAGAGCACTTGCTGTTCTTCCGGAGGTCCTGAGTTCAATTCCCAGCAACCACATGGTGGCTCACAACCATCTATGATGAGATCTGTCACCCTCTTTTGACATGCAGGCAGAACACTGTATACATAATAAATAAGTAAATCTTTAAAAAATATATAGTAATCAGGAAGTGCTTGTTTCTACTGTGCATGTGTGATTTTTTTCGTTGTTGTTTTAATTAAATAAATACTTACATAGAATCGAAGGGTACATGGGAGCTTATGTGTGTCTGTGTGTATAGGATCTTAAAGATGTCAGGCAAATATTGTTCCAGTCCTAGCATCCATTTTTACCAAGTCACTGTGATTTTGAGGTCCTTAAGACTTTATTTGACCCAGGCATGGTGGTACACATCTATAATCTAAGCACTTACAGAAAGATTACAAGGTCAGGGGAGTCTGAACTACCCAGCATAAAGACAGACACTATGAGCTAGTTATCCCTCACCTGTTGGATGACTGATCAGTCTCAAGTTGATTTGGCCATTACAAATAAAAGTCAGTAGCAGAATTGGAACTGCTAAAGCTTTTTCTCAAAACTAAGAATTGACATTTGGGAAGCTGAGATGGTAAGATTACAAGTTTGAGGCCAGTCTGAACTCTATAACAAGTCCTTGCTTTAAAAAACAATAAATTAGGAGTTGTTAACTTACATATATTTTACATACTGTGTTATACTTACACATATTTTAGCTTCCTCTCTCTCTCCCTCCCTCCCCTTCCTCCCTACCTACCCCCTCCCTCATCTCTCTTTTGGTTTTTTGAGACAGGGTTTCTCTGTGTAACAGCCTTAGCTGTCCTGGAACTCACTCTATAGACCAAGCTGGCCTTGAACTCAGAGAGATCAGCCTGCCTCTGCCTCCATATTGCTGGGATTAAAGGTGTGTGCCACCATGCCTGGCTTAAATTTCTCTTTTAATTGTGGTAAAAATTTCAGAACATAAATTTACTATTTTAACCTAGTCTTGTGTTGCTTCTTTGCACTGCTGAGGGTTGAACCTAAAGCTGAACTTCCCTATTTCAGACATTTGTGTGTGGTTCAATAGTGTTATGTCTATATAATTGTAAAACCATCTCCAGAACTTTTCCATCTTGTGAAACTGAATTTTAACAGAAACTCCCCATTCCCATTTCCTGCTGCTCCTGGCAGCTACTAGACCACTTTCTCTTTCTGATTTTGACTAGTTCTACTGCTCATACAAGTGGAATCACTGTGTTTTTTTGGTTTGTTTGAGCTTTTTGTTGTTGTTGGGGTTTTTTTGTTTTGTGTGTGTGTGTGTGTGTGTGTGTGTGTGTTTTGTGTTTTTTTTTTTAAGACAGGATTCCTCTCTATTTCTTTGAAGCCTGTCCTAGAACTTGATCTATAGACCAGACTGGCTTTGAACTCACCTCCTGACTCTGCCTCCTGAGTGCTGGAATTAAAGGCATGCACCACCAACACCCATCGTGTTTTTATTCTTTTTGATTGCCGTTTTTCACTGAGTGTAAAATAAGGTCTTTATTATTCAGCATGTTTACAGTATATAAACAGAATTTTCTTCAACAGTTTGTTGTAACGTTTATGTATTTCATGGGTTGGGGTGGAACTCAGATTGTCCAACTTGGCAGCAAGTACCTTAATCCACTGGGCCACCACACCGAGAGCATCTCAGGGCAGAGTACAGCTTAACAGGATTTGGTTCTCTCCTGCCATGTGGATCCTGGGGATTGAACTCATCAGGCTAAATTGTTTCATTCATGTGATTATGTCTGTTTTTTTCTTTGACAGGTCACCCAGTTGACAGGTTTCTCAGATCCTGTGTATGCAGAAGCTTATGTTCATGTCAATCAGTATGATATTGTCCTGGATGTTCTTGTTGTAAACCAAACCAGTGATACTTTGCAGAACTGCACATTAGAGTTAGCTACTCTAGGTGAGGACATGTATCCAAGGAAAGGTTTTTATATAATATGTCTTTGTGATGAATTACTAAGAAAGGGTCAGAGCTTTCAGTGTGAAGATCCTTTTGAGTGCTTTGTAACATTGTTCAATCAAGGCTTAGTCTAAGGTTTAAAATTCTGTTTCCTTAAACTATCAGTTTTCTGAACCTTTGTCACACTGACTAGCTTATGCTCTTGGTTTGAGAGATGGGTTCAGTTCCGAGTTTGATCTGGTAACTGTGTGAATTTGGAGAGTGCTTACCTAGTATGCATAAGACTTTGGGCTCCATCTCCAGCACTGCATTAACCCAGCATGATTATACTCCCATCACTTGGATGGAGGTAGGAATTTCAGGAGTTCGGGGTTATTCAGCTATATAACCATTTCCAAACCAACCAGGACTACAGAACCCCCTATCTCAAATAAATAAAAAACGCATTTACCAAGTAGTTCACTTAGTTAAAAATTAAGTTGCCTTGGAAGAGAATTAAGTATTTTCGGTTATCTGCCACATGTGGCCAAAGCAGCATTTTTTAACATGTTTGGGTTTTTTCTTCTTGGTAAAGGCATATGAGTTAGATTCTCTGTAACCACTTCTACAAATAGCTATGATAATATAAAATATGTATAGAACAGTGAAGTGTCTCCAGATTCCATGGGGCTTAAGCAAGAGTTTGGGGACATTAGGATACCAGAGAAATTATGCTTTGCCCTATCTTCAGTGAGCCATGGCTCAGAGTGTACAGGTTTTTTGCAGGGTGTGTTACTACTCTTTTATAATGGTGTATATAGGATAAGGCTGTGGTGTATATGGGTTAAGGGTAATGGTGTATTTAGGTTAAGCTTTCTGAGAAGCTCATATTCATTCTTAGTAATAAGATTATATACTCAAAGTACTTCTCCCACTTATGAACATAGTGTGATTCTGTGTAGAATATAGAATTATATTTATTGCCCTTTGATAGAGGTTGTGTATATTAGTGTGATTGCCTAGGATATTGGGTTATTTCCTTATTTTTCCTCATAATATTTAAATCATAACACTTCTTACTTTTCTAGAAACTATTAACTTGCATATATTCCAATACTGTTTTATGATTAATATATGTGTTTTTAAACTTTATCCAAACCTTTTTTTTTCTCCTAGGGGATCTGAAACTTGTAGAAAAACCATCTCCTTTGACTCTTGCTCCTCATGATTTTGCAAATATTAAAGCTAATGTCAAGGTAGCATCAACAGAAAATGGAATAATCTTTGGCAATATAGGTATGGTTCTGTTTTGTAGCATGTGATACTTGAGTGCTTTTTAGTAAAAAATTTGGTAATATGCATTTGTGGACATGGCTTGAAGGTAGAACCTGAATCCATTTATTTGGTACTCTCTATGGTAACTAAGCTTTTGTATTATATCCTAGATATACCAGAGTGAGCCAGATAGACTCATAGTCCTCAAGAAACCACTAGACAACGCCAGGCAGTGGTGCTG